TAGGTACATGAGGTGGACTTACAATAGTAGTTGGTGGTTTAGATATAATTGGTGGACTGAGAATGGATGGAGGAAGCTTCGGTGTAAATGGTGGATATTTAGWWGGAGGAGGCATCTTAGGAACCTGTGTAAGTGGGGGTGGAAATATTGATACATGAGGTGGACTTAAAATAGTAGGCGGCTTTGGTAGAGRTGGCGGATTTAGAACTGGAGGAGATAGCTTAGGCACTTGTGTATGTGGGGGGGGAAGTTTAGGAACATGAGGAGGACTTACATTAGGTGGTGCCTTAGGCAAAATTGGGGGATTAAGAACGGGAGGAGGAAGTTTGGGAGAAAATGGTGGATATGTAGTGGGAGAAGGCGTCTTAGGCACCTCTTTATGTGGAGGAGGCAATGTAGGTACATGAGGTGGACTTACAATAATAGGTGGTTTGGGCGTAGATGGTGAATTCAGTATTGGAGGAGGTAACTTTGGTACATTTGGTGGATTTAAAATGGGTGTTTTGGGTGTATGTTGTGGATTGGGAGTTGGGGGAGATACCTTAGGTATGAATGGTGGATTTATGGTAAGAGGTGGTGATTTTGGCACTTGTGTAAATGGTGGAGGCAACTTTGGTATATGAGGAGTATTGAAAATAGGTGGTGGCTTAGGCATAACTGGTGGATTGAGAAGTGGAGGGGGTAGCTTTGGAGCAAATGGTGATTGTGTAATAGRAGGAGGTAATTTAGGTACATGAGGTGGATTTGAAATAGGAGGTGACTTGGGCATAGTTGGTGGATTGGCAATTATAGGTAATTTAGGTGGAAATGGTGGATTTATGGTAGGAGGAGGCAACTTTGGTACATAAGGTGGTCTTAAAACTGGTGGTGACTTAGACATGGATGGTGGACTGTGAAATGGAGGAGGTAATTTAGGTGAAATTGGAACATTTACAGTAGGAGATGGCAACTTAGGTGGAAATGTTGGCTTCACAATCGGAGGTGGCAACTTAGGCTTTTGTATAGGTGGGGGAGATAGTTTAGGTGCTTGAGGAGGACTTAAATTAAGAGGTGGCCTAGGCATTGGTGGTGATTTCTCAAATGGAGGAGGCTGCTTAGATGAAAATGGAGGATTTATGGGAGGAGGTGAGGGCTTTGGCTTCTGTGTAAGTGGAGGTAGTTTTGGAACATGAGGTGGACTTAAAATTGGCCGTGGATTGGGCACGTATGGTGGCTTATAAACGGGTGGTAACTTAGGTACATATGGTTGCATAAAAGGAGGTAGCTTTGGCATATAAGGTGGCACAAATGGTGGAATGAAAAATGGTGGCGGCAACCTGGGGAAATATGGTGGAATTATAAAGGGAGGAGGCGTAGTCTTGTGTCGTGGATTAACTTTTGGAGAACGCTTCAACTTTGGTAGGGATTTATGGCTACGATGTTTATGGGAAGTTCTATGATACCTATCAAGTGTAATTTGGCTAGCAAGAGATGGGAGTAATATTGCTCCTAAATACAGGAGGAAGATCAAGAACTTAGCAACAATAAGCTTTCCCATGATATCAGAACACTAAAACAAGATGACAAGAGATGAATGAAAGAGAAAGAGTGCCTCTCTAGGGAGAGAAAGTGTTTTCTGCCTTCTTACACTTCCTACTAATGAATGAAAGTTCTTGGTCCATATTGGGCATTTTATAGTGTGAGAGGGTGTGTTGTTTACTTGAGAGAGAGAGAGAGAGCACTATTATTACACACCAACATTTGTAGATTTCCTGTTGGATGAGATTTGTTTTACTTAGCTACATGGACTTGCAATAAGGCCCTACAGATTGTCTTTAATGCATTTTAAACTTGTAGGGGTTGAGATTTTGATGGAGAAAGCGGTGCATAAGAACCTATGACCCTCTTGCTTTATCAGTTTTTCAAAATTAATTTACTAAACGACAATTTTCTCATCAAAATTTTTTACCAAGGCATGGAGAAAATTTTGGCTGTCAATCGTCCGACAGCCTTGACTCTAACCTGTGAACTGACACGTCATGTGTCATTTGGAGAGAGGCTGTGACACAGCCCAGGCTGTCGAATTTAAGTCAACAAAATTTGCCAGACATAAGATTTAAAATAAATATATTCATTGAAAGGACTGCACTAAATAATGCATTCCCGACAGACATGGCAGAAGAAAAGCTTTTAACCAACCCACCACTATCRTAAGAATTCACATCTTCGCCCCACAACGCCCCATAGACCGTATATTGGGAACATCTCCCTCTCATGACATCATTGGGATTGTTTCTATCATCGGGAAATGTTTYCAATACATAACAGGGATGTGCTGTGGGGGGTTGTGGGGTGACTCCTTGTGGAATGGAGATGTGATTTCGCATCCATAAGTCATTCATTTTTTGTGTTGGTGTGATCTTTTCATGCTCCATAGATATAATATTCAATGTTTCCAAAATTGGACCAGACAGAACGGTCGAATTGAAAAACTGGGAATCAGTCATCTGACCAGTTCTATTTAATCCCAAAAGTGTGTTTTTGTTAAACATCATTAATTTGACCAGCGAACTTCTGATCTAGGTAGTCAAACCGTTAAAACTGTTCGACCCAAGAATGATTTTTTGCTGCATTTTGGGTTTTTTATTTTTTTCATTTTTTGTTAGAACAGGCTGTTCGTTTGAACCAAACAATTAAACCATTTGACCCGAAAATCAAACCCCAAATGATTTCCTGTCTGATCCGATTTTAAAAACCTTGACAATATCTATTTTTTTCATGACATACATGCAATATTATCATAATCTGATATCTAAAAGTATAAATCTAACAAATAAGTAAATCAAACAACAGGTTAAAATTGTAGCCATCATCATAATCGGGTCTAACCTAATAGTCCCCATTACAGACCATATAGAGTCTACCCTCGGAACTGACCTGACCGATTGACAGTTTGACGCCACTAGAACAGTCGAATATTTTGATTTTAAGACCACCACTTATATCTCCATGTCCTATTGGGTGGTAAGAAAGTGCTGCACTGTTTTCCTTGCCTTTGAAGTTCCATGACGAACACAGATTAGTCATGTTCAGAACTTCAACCAATAGTGGCAGCCAGTTACAAATAGCGTTCAATTGCTTCCTGGTCAACTTAATCAGTCCATTTCGATTTCTTTCACCATGTTCTGCAGCTTTGGAACTGGGTGAGAGAAGCTGTGACAAGGTCCCCAATACGTTTCATATTATTATAAAAGAATGTCAACGGACGGAGTCTATCAATGTGGCTGATTTGAGTTACTTAGAGCCACTCTTTTACATCATTGGCTAATAAACTTCCTGAAACTTAATGCTACAATAATTAGTTAATTGACGGTTCTGTGTTCAGGCCAAAAGTGCGGTCCAGGAGTTAGACTTCTTCTCATGTTTATCAATACTAGCCGTGATCTTCATATCTAAATCTTGTTTCAGGCTTAGTACATGATTAGAAATGTACATTTCGTTCCGCGACCTTGTTCACCAGTGGATGTGATGGAGATAAGTGCCAATAGGAGGTCTTTACTGTTTAGAAAACAATAAAAGGAGAGCTGCATTCAGCACTAACACCAATAATTGAATATGGGTGGACTTCCAAATCTGTTTTGGAGAAGAACCTCATTAAAGTGAGTCAACTCAAGAGGCCTTATCCCAAAGTCAGATGATGAATCTGGGATATTTTTAGTAGCTTCTCCAGCATGGTTCTATTGCTGAGTAATTAGGCGTCTGTTTGGCATCGATACATATTAGCGCTACGTCAGAAAAAACGGTGCTCCAGGAAATGCCAATATGCTTTGAACTGTTTTCCATAAAAAACGGTATTCTAAGTCATGCCTTGGAAATTAAAAAGGTGTGGTTTGGAGCAACGCCAAATTTGACGTTTTCTCAGATTGCAACTCGTTTCTGCCAATGAGGACATGATGTGGCAGTGACATGGACTTCCCATAATGGGTACCAGTGTTGAAAACAGATATGAAGAACTGTTACCAAACAAAAAGTGTTATTGTTGCTCCAGGAAATGTCTTACCTGACAGCAACATTTCCAAACARAAAAAAAAAAAAAAAAAAAAACATCGTTTTCTCAGAAAATGGTGCTTTCAACACACACATCAGAGTTGTATCTGCAGCACCGATGCCAAACATATATTAGGAATGGCAACGGGTAGAATACCTATGAAAACTATCCTTCTTATTTGTGAACCCGTTTAGGTATTTTTTATGCCAAATTGATCCCAAACCCATTTACCTTTTCCTCCCAATTTTAATTTCCAAACCTATCCCGTCCCAAACCATTTAACAAGTCCCAAGCTATCCCACCCGATTATTGCTATCATTTTTCAAATTTGAAATCCATAACTAACATTATTTAACACACTACTTATAACATTAATTAGTTTCATTAATTATCTGCCTCTCATAATTAATTCAATTAATTCCATTTAGGTATACTTAAACTAGTTTTGTATAAAATTAGATATYAGAAGGATTTGAATTTCAGTTGCTTATTTTAAACATAGTATATTTTAACCACTAAGCCACTTCGTGATATCTTGTTAAACTAGCATTGTTAAGCAACCACATTATATCCATGCGTATTAAAGTACAGAAAATATTCATTTGTAAATTAGACCTTGAACTATAAATCAATATCCAATTAAGAGACTTTCTTTATGACTAATTTCTTAGGAGAATATACCTTTTTCTACTACACATAGCACCATTATTTATTAAACTTTGTTTATTTTAAATTTTGTTAACCTTTTACATGACCACTGATGAGATTTATAGTAATAGTTTGTTAATCTATGAATATATGTGCATATCAATGTTTCCTTGCGACATTCTGATGATTTATACATCTCATGGTCAAAATACACTTAACATAAAGTCATAAACTATTAAAATACATCTTTTGTATGTATAGAATTATTATAGCTATAGATTATATAAAATTCATATATTTTTAATATATATTTGAATTTCCTTGGTGTATCCATGTGTATCTTAAATTGTCAATTGTATCTATACATATTCAAAGCATATCCAAAATCCAAATAAAAATTTTTTAATTTCATCTTCATTATTCTTTGCATTTTTTATATATATTTTGAACCTTGCATCCGATTTTACATCACATAAGTAAAATGTTGTGTCCCTCTTAAAAGGAAATAGTGTACTATATCAATGCTGAAGATACCTTTTATTTATTCCCAAAATTTACTCCCAATGAAAGGGTGGCCATCATAAAATTTACTAAGGATTCCTAAAAAATAATAGCCTAGGAGGGGGGATGTAAAAGCCTTACCCCTCGAGAAAAGCTATATGCAAAGAGATCATCATCAAAACTATAAACAATAATTACAAAAGGACCTAGATGATCTCTAAATAAAACTAATAAATAAATAAATAAAATGCAGGAAAAAAAAGAATACCAAGACCATCATTCTTCAAAAGATTTTGTGTCTCACGTGGAAGGTTATCCAATGGAGATCACATCTCCGCCCCACAATGCCCCACAGCACATCCCTGCTGTGTACTGGGAACATCTCTCGATGACGACATCATCGGGATTGATACTTTCAGCAGGAGATGTTCCCATTATATGGTGGGGATGTGCTGTGGGGCGTTGTGGGGTGGTCCCTTGTGGGGCGGAGATGTGAACTCTAGCCAATGAGTTATATATAATGCTATTGGGGGAATCACTACCCAACTTTAAAAGGCTATCCACAACCTAATTTGCTCCCCAATAAATATGAACAAAGTGTAGGTCCATAACCACCTGGAAGTTCTCAATAAGATCCAACAAATACCAAATATACTAGGGAGATTTGCATCTTCTCGTCACTATGTCATGGAGGACTTTCAAGTCTGTCTCAACTAACAACTTCGTAATTCCCATTACTCGTGCTGAAGATACCTACAATGGGATACAATATCTATACTATCTATATAAACCAAAATGGTCCACATCAGAATGCCTCTTTTTTCTCTGAACCCCTTTTCTTGCTTTCTCCTTAATTCCCTCTCTTTCTTTCTTTCTTTCTTTCTTTCCTCCATTCCCCATTCCTAGCCCTTCCATGTGACTACATGGCAGCCCTCTCTTCTTCACAGTAGTCCCACTCCAACTCTCTCTCTCTCTCTCTCTCTCTCTCACATGTTCCCAATCACTTAGCCAACCCCTTCCTAAAATTTCTCCTAAATTATCTCTCCCACCTAAAATCCTCCTAAAACACTTCATAATCAATCTTACATGCCCAATAAACCATCTAAAAACCAAAAAACATGGTTAAATTAATTCGGGTACTTAAATTAATTTTTGAAATACTTTTAATATTTCTAATAATTATTGATATTATTGAATATTATTCAGTAAATATCAACACCTAAACTATAATTTTCTATAATTTTGGTAAATTGGAAATTTTAATTACTAAAAATTACTTTCTGAAAATTACTAATTTTAGTAATTTAATTTCAGGAATTTTGAAAATTAATTATTGAGATCAATAATTACTAAAAAATTAATAATAAATTAAAATATTAATAAATACAAATTTAATAATTAAAAATTATCAATAAATTTTCATTTGAAATTTTATTTCAATAAATATAAATTTATTGATATTATTAGTAATTTTTAGTAATAATTAGTTATTGATATTTTCAGTAATTTTGGTTAAGTTATTAATATTTAATGATATTATCATATAATAATTAAAATTTTTAGCGGAAAACTAATTTCAATAAATATAATTTTATTTTTTACATTTTTAGTAATTTTGATATTTAGTATAATTTTTTAGCACTAAGTAGCGATTTTGGTATTTGAATTACTAAATATTACTGATTTTGGTAATTTACTTTAGTAAAAGTTAAATTATAAAACTTCTAAYTATTCAAATAAATAATTGGAAAACTTTGATAATTTCCATAGTTATTGGACAATGAATTTATAATTTCCATAATTATTGGAACTATATTTATGGGTTTGGGGGATAACCCCCCAGGTAGGAATGCCGATGAGCAGGTTCAGGGGCAAGGATCATACTCTTCGTCCTTGACCCCGAGTTTTAAATTAATCCTTGTTGGAAAAAAATTAGCATGTATCTCTGATCCCCAGTCCTCAACAAGACAAGGTGTTGTTTTCATGATCAATTAGTCCGCTATCAAGATTCTAGAAGTTGTTACACCAGAAGAGGTGGAGGAAACTCATCCCCAAGTCATCTAGGAATCTTCAAATGACAATGTTTGTGTGATTGATTAGGGTGACCATGGTAATCCATCCTGTCTTATCCATCATTTCCTAGAAAAGGTTGCTAATTGGAGTGCCCATCCCATAGTAGTAGGAATCGACATTGATTCTAAATCTTCCTCTCAGGTTTGAATGTAAAGTCGGAGTGGGAAATCAATTCTCTCTACCCGACCTCCGTATATATTGAGAGTTTTTGGAATTGATGTAAATAGTCTCATATCCTATGGTGTTTTGTGTCATTCAAGGACGCTTATGGAACTACGTCAAGCCTCATCCCCCTTTAGCGCAACCCATATCATAGGCTCAGCCCCTATCATAAATAAAATTTTTATTTCCCTCAATACTTACTACTCTACCTTTCTTGTTCCCAATAATCCATCCTTGATCCTTATGATTTCAATGTCGAGATAGATTTTGCTCTTATGGGTATTGAATAATAAGATCCTAATAAGGAAAGTCCAAAGGAACCTTCTTGACCAAGTTAAGTGACACGAAGAGAATAAGCCAAAGACCGAATCTGAAACAATAAACTTGGGTACTGAGAATGAATCGAAAGAAGTATTGATTGGGGAAGATTTAGCTCGTGAGTAGAGAGCAGCTTTGATACAGTTGTTGCATGACTACATCGACATCTTCGCCTGGTCCTATAAAGATAGGTCTGGTTTAGATAAAAACTTAGTGGTCCATAAGATTCCCACTTATCTTGATGTGAAACCTATCAAATAGAAGCTCTACATGCTTAACCCAAAGTGGTCACTTCAGATCCAAGAGGAAGTAAAGAAGAAATTTGAAGCAGGGTTCA